TCTGGAAAAAGCAATGGGAAAAAAAAACCCTCAGTAAAGATTAACAAAACAAAACAAAACCCATTTATGCCATGAATCAGTAGTTGGATCCAATGTCACAAAGGCTGTTTAAATAAACGAAGTGATCTATCTAGCCCTAATGATGTGATTCTGGATGTGGCAGAAAGAATAAGTACAATAGGAACCAATAGCACTGCAGAGCATCAAAACTATGTAATCTTGCCTGGCAGGCATGGCTCAATGGTTGAGTGTCGACCTATGAACCACGAGGTCACGATTTGATTCTCAGTTGGGGCACATGCCGGGGTTGCAGGCTTGATCCCCAGTGTGGGGTATGCAGGAGGCAGCCGATTAAAGATTCTCTCTCATCAATGATGTTTCTATCTCTTTCTCCCTCTCCCTTCCTCTCTGAAATAAACAAAAATATATTTAAAAAATACAAAACTATGTAATCTTTAATGAATCTAGGATCGTGCCACTGATGGTGACAACTATCTATGTGTATAGTTGTGGCTATCAATGGGGACAAAATAAGCAATAATTTCGACACTGTGCTCTCATGATTATGTATTTTTATTCAGTAATAATTTTCAATAAACTCTACCATAATGCACACCAGGGTAAGGCATTAATAGAGCTGGAACTCCATTCATTCATTCAACAAATATTTATTGATAAATACACCAAGTACCATTCCTAAGTGCTGGGGATACACTGATGGACAAGATAGACAAATTCACAAAGAAAGACAAGTTCTCAGCTCTCATGGAACTTGTATTTTTTTTTTTTTTTTGGTATTGATTTCAGAGAGAAAGGGAGAGATAGAAACATCAATAATGAGAGAATCAATCAGCTGCATCCCGCACGCCCCCTACTGGGGATCAAGCCACAACCCGGGCAGGTGCCCTTGACTGGACCTACGACCCTCAAGCCAAAGGCCAATGCTCTATCCACTGAGCCAAACTTTAATCCAGGTCCCATCAGAATAAAATTTTACTCCCAAGTTATTTTTATCTACTATGATGCAATGGGACTATAGCCACAAAATTAAGAATACTGGCATGGCCCTGGCAGGTTTGGCTCAGTGGATGAAGCATCGGCCTGTGGACTGAAGGGTCCTGAGTTCAATTCTGGTCAAGGGCATATGCCCAGGTTGTGGGCCTGATCCCCATTAGGGGGTGTGCAGGAGGCAGCCAATCAATGATTCTCATCATTGATGTTTCCCTCTCTCCCTCTACCTTCCTCTCCGAAATCAATAAAAATATATTTTTTAAAAATACTGATATGGTGGAAAAGAGAGATTAGGCACTGAAACCATGCCCTTTGAAAACAAGGAGCCCCAAAATAGGTTCCAGCAAGGAGAAAAGACAATTACCTTGACACATTTCACATTTATTCCTGGACATACAAACTTCTTCCAGAGAAGAATGGCTTTGCTCTCCCCACAAGTTATGGGGTAAGCAATTTCCATATCTTCATTTGCTTCTATAGTGCTTGCATCTGAAAATGGAAAAAAATATCAGTGATTTATTAAACACTCTTTTCCAAAGCTTAATTCAAAATCTTTAGTCTCCTGGTTCCTCTCAGGGGTTAACAGTTTACATTAGCTGGTATTGTTTAGAAATCCTCTGGAAAAAGTTAGGCATAACAGCTGTCTTACTGAACTCCCACTATGCAACACTGTGCTATATGCTTTGATGTGCTTAATCTTATTTAGTTCTTGCAACAACCCTTGGAGATAATGATTGTTTTCTGTTTTACATAACTGTAATGTGGGACTCCAAAAGGTAAAGTGACTTTCCCAAGAATACAGTTAAGAAATGAGAAAGTAAGCTCCAAACTTAGGTTTGCCTAATTTCAAAATTTCTTTCCACTGACTGCCTTCCCCTGAACACCTTATCAGTCTTTATCAGCAATTTCCCTACTGACAAGAATCAACCTTGAGACTCCAATTTATTTGTGGGATTTTTATAGATGAAAAATCTTTTTGCTTGACTTGTGTATCAGTGGTTGAGCCTCAACCTATGACCCAGGTCATGGTTTGGTTTCTGGTCGAGGCATATGCCTGGGTTGCAGGTTCGATCCCCCGTGGGGGATGTGCAGGAGGCAACCGATCAATGATTCTCTCTTATCATTGATGTTCTGTCTCTCTCCCTCTTCCTTCCTCTCTGAAATCAATAAAAAATAATTAAAAAATATTTTTAGCAACTCTAGCAATATGATGTTAAACAACCAACTGAAGGCCCTAACACCTTAGTCCAGCCCTGGGCAAACCACGGCCCGCGGGCCGCATCCGCCCGTTTGAAATGAATAAAACTAAAAAAAAAAAAAAAAAAAAAAGACCGTACCCTTTTATGTAATGATGTTTACTTTGAATTTATATTAGTTCACACAAACACTCCATCCATGCTTTTGTTCCGACCCTCCGGTCCAGTTTAAGAACCCATTGTGGCCAAAAAGTTTGCCCACCCCTGCCTTAGTCAGTGGTGTCTCTAGATTAGCAAGTTCTCAACCTGTGGGTCGCGACCCCACCCAAGCGGTGTGCAGAGGCTTTTGCATATGAATGACCTGGCCCTTTGCAATCTAAAATTACCTAACAAACTGCAGTTGGGTCAGAGAGACCCAGAACATCCAAAAGAAGGCCCAAGGCCTAAGACCATGAGAAAACACATATATAATTACATATTGTTTTTGTGATTAATCACTATGCTTTAATTATGTTCAATTTGTAACAAAAAAAATACATCCTGCATATCAGATATTTACATTATGATCCATAACAGTAGCAAAATTACAGTAGCAACAAAAAATATTTTATGGTTGGGGGTCACCACATAAGGAACTGTATTAAAGGGTCGCGGCATTAGGAAGGTTGAGAACCACTGCTCTAGATATACCACCATCAAACTGGTAGCTGCAGCATTGATAGGGCACACTGAGTAGGGTGAAAAAGGCACCAAGTCAAGAAATCTCAGCTAGGGAAACTAAGGTCAAATGTACTAGAATAACAAAGACTCACCAATCCCTTCTTCAATTTTGTGTATCGTGTGAGTTTCTACTGCCACAACTGCTGTGTTGTTCTCGGACCCAGCTTCATAAATCCTGTTGTAAAAGTGTCCATCGATAAACAAACTACATAAATCATGAAAAAATTAATATTCACAGCATGGGGGTTAAGAAATTTCTTTTAACCTATCTCAAAGGACAAAATAAATATACTTTACAACTAACTGTATGTAGTGCTTTGACTAGTTCGCCATTGTTTTTAAACTCTAAGCTGCCCATGACTGCTTAGCAGCTACTACCATGAAAATGAATCAACAACTTTCACAGCAAAGTTCCTCTTGCTACTTATTTAAACCAGACTTTTCCCTTCATAACTTTAAAACCTCATGATAGAGAAACCAAGACTACGGCATAGGTAAACACCTGAAATTGCTGCCTCGCACAACCACTTCAAAAATACAACTAAAAGACAAAACGGACATCATCCAGAACCACAGGAAGGCTGGCTGAGTGGAAATTCTACAACTAGAAGGAAAGAGAAAAGCACTGAGACTCAAAGGAGGTGCGGAAGTAAAGTGCAGAGGTATGGAGGCGCACACTGAAAGGGCTGGCGGCTGAGGATGCAGGACAGGGGGTAG